TCACTCACACTCTCTCCCCTCCCTCCAGGACCAGCTACAGCAGTCGCAGTGTTGGACCCAGGAGCCTATGTGCCTGTATTACAGTGTGTACTCTCTCTCTCTCCCTCCCTCACTCACACTCTCTCCCCTCCCTCCAGGACCAGCTACAGCAGTCGCAGTGTTGGACCCAGGAGCCTATGTGCCTGTATTACAGTGTGTACTCTCTCTCTCTCCCTCCCTCACTCACACTCTCTCCCCTCCCTCCAGGACCAGCTACAGCAGTCGCGGTGTTAGACTCCGGCGCCTATGTGCCTGTATTACAGTGTGTACTCTCCCTCCCTCACTCACCCCCTCTCTCCCCTCCCTTTAGGACCAGCTACAGCAGTCGCAGTGTTGGACCCCGGGGCCTATGTGCCTGTATTACAATGTGTACTCTCTCTCTCTCCCCCTCCCTCCCTCACTCACTCACCCCCTCTCTCTCTCCACAGGACCAGCAACAGCAGTCGCAGTGTTGGACCCCGGGGCCTATGTGCCTGTATTACAGTGTGTACAAGACTTCCTGCTCAACAAGGCCTACATCCACCGCAAGGGACCCTACAGGGTGAGGAGAAAATGTGGAGCAGTCAGGAAAAAAGTGTTGCAATGTTGTGAAATCAGGGGCTTGTCAAAATCATGAAATCGCAGAAACTATAGTGCGGTCAAAAATTCATGGTGCAACTTATCCTGAAATGTCTCTTTAACGGGTGAATCAATGTCATCCATACTTTGCATAGCAGTTTGTATCAATATGTCTTAACTAAATCATATTTTTCCAGAACAATTGGGTCTAGATTAAAAAACTTTTCTTCATAAATTTATATAAAATGCTTGAAATCTGTCACACGTAAAATGGTATTGTTCACAGCACTTCCCGCTTTTCACACACGTTTTGATTACGCATTTATGGCCTACGTCACAACTCATCAATGACACTTTTTTACTTGCAAAACTTGTTACAAGAAATTATTGTTATAGTGAACACATGTTTGCACTAATGACTCTAAAAACATGCATTCAATAAGCATAATGTCCCGGTTAGAAAAACCTAACAGACTTGCTATTAAAAGCAATATTGCCCCAGCTGTAAACATTTAAAAATCTGTAGAAACACCCTCTTGAATTTTGTATTAGTATTTATAAAGGAATTTTCTAGAATACAGCTTGCAGGTGTTTACAAAAATATTGATCTGTTAAAACAAATTGATACAAGTCACTGTGCAAAAATTGGAGAATCTATGTTCGATAGTTGAGGAGATATTTGAAAATAAGTCGCGCCATGAATTTTTGACCTCACTATAGCATTTTTCCACTGGTTTGGCACTTTTTTATTAAATTCTTCTTTTTTTTTTGCCGCAACGCCTTATATGTCCATTCAAAATCACTTTCCTCCATTGATCTTACTGAAAATCATTGATCAGAAGCACCAAAAAATGTCAATTTACAGTTCCCAAGAACTATTGAGCTATGCAAGTCACCATTTTTTTGCTCCTCTGACCCCAGACTACTGCCACCTCCTTCAATCACAATTATCTTCACTTCTACTCAAGATAGATTGGCATTTTTTTTTTCATCTAAAGCTAGGCAAATGAACATGCTTTAAAATGATACAAGTAACTCCATAAATGCCCCAAAATTGACGAGTACCTGATTCCACCGCGTCGTGACACAAATACATATCATTGGCAAAAATTTTTAACTCTTCTAAGCCTAGAAAGCAACTTTTTATTTTTAGAAAAGAGAACAAGCTGTTTCATTTTGTAAAAGATTGTATCACAGGTGGTTGGCGAGTGCTCTGGTGTGGTTTGCTCCTTCTTTCCGATGAAAAACCTATCGTCCTTATCTTTCCTCCTTCTTTTTTGTGTTTGTTACTCTCTTGCAACACCTCTAATCTTCGGCACTTACATGACCTATTGTGTTGCAAGTGCCGTAAAACTCTTACTAAAACTAAACTAAACCAAACGTTCTTATCTCTCTCCTACTTTTCTGTAGTTGTTACTCTCTTGTAACACCTCTAATCTTTGGCACTTATATGACCATTTTATGTTGCAAGTGCCGTAAAACTTGTTAAAAAAAAAAAGGGAGGACTTCCGTAACGAGCAACCACTTTGAGACAGTTGAGTAAAATAGAGGGCAAGGGGTAGGATTTGGGTTAGGGTTAGGGTTAGGGTTTGGGTTAGGTTTGGATCTAGGTCTCTTCTTTATTTTATTTGTTGGGTTGATCGCTCGCGAGAGAAGAAGAATGATAGAGAGAGAGAGTGAGTGAGATTGAGAGAAAGTGAGAAAGAGAGAGGGGGCGAGAGAGAGAGAGAGAGAGAGAGAGAGAGAGAGAGAGAGAGAGAGAGAGAGAGAAGGGAAGTTCCCTCGCTCCCCCCCCCAAAAAAAAAATAACCTCAAGCTCATCCCCAGATCGGTATCTGCCTGGGTCTCACTGGACCGTCGGCTCTGTACGGAAAGATGCGGCCGTACCTGACCCAGTTAGACCTGGATGAGCACTACTACATCCAGGGGCCCGTCGGCTGTCAGGCAGACGCTGCTCAGCTGTTTGCTGTCATGAGTTAGTCTGTTTGTCTGTTTGCTTGTCTGTTTGTGTGTATTTTTTATGTATGATTGTCTCCTCCATATCACTGTGTGTTTGTTTGTCTTACTCTCTCTTTCTCCCTGTCTCTTTTTCAGTCTCTCTCTCTCTCTTACTCTTTTTCCCTCTTTTTTCACCCTCTCTCCCTCTCCTAACTCTCTTTCTTTCTTCTTTCTCTCTCTCTCTCTTTCTCTGTCTCTCTCTCTCTCTTTTTGAGTGGTTTGTGTATGCTCTGGTGTGGTTTGCTCCTTCTTTCTCATTAAAATTAAACATCTATCGTCCTTGTCTCCCCTTCTTTTTCATGATGTATAATTACTCTCAAATAACACCTCTTATCTTGGCCACTTAAATGTTGTTGTTAGCGATCCAGTAGCATCTGAGCGTTAACTCTTCTGTATGATGCCATTGGGTAATAGCAGCACGTCTGTTCTAATTGTTGTATTGAGGAGTAGATGGCCACTTAAATGACCTATTAGTGTTGCAAGCACTGTAAAACACATACTTAACACCTACAGTACCGTCAGTGACTTTAGTCGCCAGGCCGTACTATGCACTCACTACCGCTGGCGGCTTTAGTCCAACGCAACCAGGCGCACTAAACATAATTAAACTACGAATGGACGCTCTGCGCTGAAGTAGGTACCAAAGGAAGTCTCTCAATATGATAACTGAATGTTTGATGAACCTCTCTGAATTTTTAAAGCGTGTTTCTTGGGCTGCCAAGGTTTTTATAATTTTAAAAAATTCTACCTCGGCTTCAGTGTTCTAAACTGGTGCGGTACTTGAGGGTTTTTCACTATATGAGCCTTCGGTACGGTAAGTGTTAAAGTGAAGGATATGTATTTAGGCAGTTCATTTTCTTTTGTTTTGTAGGTGGTTGGCGGGTGCTTTGGTGTGGTTTGCTTCTTTTTTCCTATCAAACAACTATCGTCTTTATCTCTCCTCCTTTTTTATGTTTGTTACTCTCTTGTAACACCTCTAATCTTCGGTACTTATGTGACCTTATTGTGTTACAAGTGCCGTAAAACTTACTATAACTAAACGTGCTGCCTTCGTACTGACAAAGTGTTGCGAGAACAAACATGTCAGTGTCTTTAGGCCATTCCCAAAGGTGGGACATTTCTCGTTCATGCACAGTAGAATTGTAAATGGGCTGATTCATCAATGTCACGCTCATAACTGTGCCTGATCTACAACAGGGAACTGCTGCTTTTTCATTCCTAATCCTTACTATTGTCATTTTCCTCTACTTCTTTTGTATGTTTGTCACACCCTTGTGATCCACTATTTCCGGGGTGCCTTGATGGTCGAAGCAGACCTTGTGCTGTTGAAGCTAGAGAGGTGAACAGTTTAAGTCTGATTCCCTGTTAACACTTCTCTGTTGACATCCACCCCTTGGTGCTCATATGACCTTATGCAGTTGCGAGCGCAGTAAAACCTGTACTAAAACTTTAAAAATTGATATCAGAGAAACGAAAGTAGGGCCTCAGTGTGACTAACTTTCCTTCCGGGGTCGATAACTCAAATTCAGCCAATTCCGGTGAAACTTTGCACGAAACAAAACAAAGGTCGGCTGCACTGTAAGAGACGGTTCACGTAGCGTTTGCGCGCATACTTTGCCAAGGAAAAAACACGAAACTTGTGCTCACTGGGGGTGCATGGACCACCTCTCAGGAAAATATTGGTGCTCGCAAAAGCTGCATGAAACGTCTCCAGTGAGTTAAAGTAAAGGAGATAATAATAATAATAATTGCATTTATATAGCGCATATCCATGCTCAAGAGCATGCTCTATGCGCTTTAAAACTATCATTACCCCAGCAGACCATCTGAGAACACTCAGACACATTCTCGGCTTCCGCAGAAGCATACAGTGCAAGCTGCGGATTTCACGCGCTCAAACACTATCAAACTGACAAGATCGTTCACTGTCTATAGCCGGGTACCCATTTCCACCTGGGTGAAGTGAAGAAAATTTGTGCAAAGTGCCTTTCCCAAGGACACAACGTCGGGCCCCTGACGGGATTCGAACCCATGACCTTACAGTTGCGAGTCCGAGAGGCTAACCACTAGGCCACCGACACCACTGTTGTATTGGGGTAATTTTGTTATGTTTTGTTTTTGTTTTTCTCCAGTCCAGAAGCACGTCTGGGAGATGGTGGCCGCCAACAAGGTTCCCATCATGGGAGTGTTCATCGGCCGCGACAAAAACCGCTGGTCCTGGGAAGAAGTCATCAACAAAAAGCTTGGGTTTTTCACCGAGGTGGAGAGTCTGGTGTTGCAGAAGGAACCCATCTACCTCAAGGTTTGTTGTCTTAGTTCTGTGTCCTGTGTGCCTTTAACAACAGCAGCAGCAGCAGCAGCTACAACAGCAACAAGAAGTAGATCAGAGCAAACAGCAACAATATAACAACAACTAAATCAGCATTTTCACAACAACACAAAAGCAGCAACAACATTATTGATAATAACAAAAACATCAGCAGCAACAACCACAACTACACCGTCAACACCAACTGCATCAACATCAACAACAGCATCTTCAACTACAACAGCAACATAGCAACAACAAAAATAACATTAACAACAGTAACTTCAACTACAACAACAAAAATAACACTGTAAAAAGCTGGGCTTCTTCACCCATGTGGAGAGTCTGGTATTACAGAAGGAACCCATCTACCTCAAGGTCTGTCTTACTTCTGTGTCCTGTGTGCCTTTAACAACAATAACTATAAAAACTATATCAGAATAAACAACAACAAAAGCATCATTGTCACAACAACAAAAAACAGAAACAAAAACATTATTGATAATAACAAAAACATCAGCAATCATAACTACACCAACTGCATCAACTTCAACATTAACTTCAACAACAACAACAACACAGCAACAATGCCAGCAACAAGAACAATAACAAGTGCAACAATCTCTGATTCTTCATGGAGGAAGAGAGTCTCTTGTTACCGAAAGAACCTATCAACAAGTTACAACAACAACATCAACAACAGAATCAGCAGCTACAATAACGTTAAAGCAGTAACGACAACAACAACAAAATCCACGACATCACAACAAAAACAACAACAACAACAGAATCAGCAGCTACAATAACGTTAAAGCAGTAACGACAACAACAACAAAATCCACGACATCACAACAAAAACAACAACAGAATCAGCAGCTACAATAACGTTAAAGCAGTAACGACAACAACAACAAAATCCACGACATCACAACAAAAACAGCAACAACATGAATGATTAAGAAGGAGAACTATGTAGTTGTTGACACCTAGATTGTTTTATTTTTAAGTTCTGGTAGAAGATTCTTGTAGTTGCTTCATGGATTGTCAAGAAATTTGGCAATTATTGTTCCTTATGACGTATGAGGACAAAGAGTATACGCTGTGCCATTCATTTATTGATTCAGTGGGCTTAGTTCAGTATATGTGAAGCGTTCTGACAAAATGAGTTACTTCTCAGATTCAAGCCTTAAGGAAATAGATACATCATTCT